CCTCTTCTAGATGCTGGAGACACAGCAAGGTATAAGACAGAGGAAAGCCTGCCTATGGGGAGTTTACATGGTTGTTTGGAAATATAAACCAGTAAAACATTAATAGGTAGTATCTCAGGAGATAAGTATACTGAAGAAATATAAGGTAAGTCAAGGGCATAGATGATATTTTAAATGGAATAGTCAAGAACAGCCTCTTTGGTATAGTGACATTTTAGAAGAGATATGAACTAATTATGTGCATGAACATGAGGAAAGAGATTCTCCAGCAGAAGAAATAGCAAATGCCAATCTATTGTGGTACAAGTATGTTTGTTGTATTTGGGAAAACTTCAAGGAGAGTAATATGAACAGAGAGAGCAAAAAGTGAATCAAAATAAATTAGGTCACAGAAAAAGGGCATGCAGATGATTCAAGTTCTGTAGATCAAGCATAGCCTTTGAATTGGGATGGAGGTCATTGGACGAGTACATGATCTGATTTATATTTTGGAAGTGAGAAAAAGTTTGAAGCGTAGATACCTGTACTTTGACCTTACAGAAAACTGTAGAGCCTTAATATTCGTATGTTGATTTATTCTGTCTGTTTATTCTTATTGTATTTCATTCTTTCAACCCAGGACTTCATCTTTATCATCTAATACATAATATCTAATACATAATAATATAACCGAGACAATTCTAATGAATTCTGGGTTTTAGAATCTCCATTCACTAAAATCTCAATCCTAGTAATTGATAAATTGTCCTACACTGCACCTTTACCAAGAAAACTCTAATGTATAAGAAAAAAATGTTTCTTTTTTGCTTTCTAAATATGGAGTACAAAATTGCTTAGCAACTACTTTTTCTTTTATTTAGTTTTATACTCTCATTCTTTCTTTCCAACAAAATGTCTAAATATATTATTAGTATTCTGAAGCATCCAATTCATCTCACCTACTAGTAAATTCCAGAAAAAAAAATCTAGCTATTTTGAAAAGAAAAAATTAAATCCATTTTGCATTACCTCTTTAAGCTTCCCACTTTCACTCTCCTATAAATTACTACACATTTATCAGATTTCTGACTTTCTCCAACATCTCGATCTTTGAGGTGATTCTTAGGTTTTTCAAAAATATTTTCTTACCGTTATCTGTTTTGCATTTCCTCCTCTATTCTTAAAGAAGTTTTAAAATCAAGATATTCTTTCCAGTGAAGACTTTTGTGGTAAAACTATAATGATATAACCTCCTGTTTGCATTTAGAGCATTTTTATATAAAATGTATTTTGATATATTCTCATTTAGTTAAATTCTAACTATTATTATAATACCTTAAATATAAGAAAAATTTAGTTAGAGAAACTCAGCAACCACTAAGTTCACAACAACATTTGTTTATGGAAATGCTTTCCTTCTTGTTGTTTCATCCTCTTGGCTTCTGCAATATACAAACTGCTTAGAAATACATCTCTTCTCTGTTCATCTTTTTTATCACAAATATTTTAATGAGCTTTCTATTATCTTCCACATGTTACATCAGTGCGGACCAGGTTATCTCTCCTCAGCCTATTTTCTTCTGATTCTATGCATCCTTCCTGTATGATCTATTCCAATTTCAATCTTGATTATAATCAATTGGCTTATAAGTCCCCAATCTGCAGCTCCAGTGAGGCTCTTCATTTTCCAATTTTAGTCTCATGTCATTAGTCTTCTCCTGAATTTCTCTATCTCTTTGTCTATTAATATTGTCTGACTCTCAAATTATATGAAAATCTCCTTAAGAGTAGGAGTAAAGCTAGTCACATGGTATCTCCAGAATAAAGGAGGTTCTATCTCATCTAGTAGAGAGTTACATGTTGTTCCATATAAGTCAATAGCAGTATTTTTCATTTTAGTTGTTCAAACAGGATTATAACATAAGATTTTTTTAGTTAAATAAATAAACATCATAGATTTTGGTCACATAGATCTGGTCCATACTTATCACAGGTAATTTGGAGAATATGGAGGAGCAGGACGGGGAGGAGAAGCAGAAAATGGAGGAAGAGAAGCACAAAGAAGAAGAAGAGAAAGAGGAGGAGGGGGAGAGGCAGAAGAAGGTGAAGAAGGAGGATAAAATCCTAGCATAAATATCACTGTAAATACTCATTCATGGGTTGTATCCCTAAGCAACCAGTGTATTGCTAAATCTGGGATAAGGCAGTAGCTCTTTGTTGATATTTCCCTTGTAATTGAAAGGCATGGCCTTTTCAAAGAATATGATGTTTGCTTATAGAAGACAAGATATCTGTTTTACTTAATTATAAAATATGAAACCATGTTCTGGTCCATCAGTCTTCTAAAATGGCCTACTGTTCCTGGAGGGGGAGACCATAACTAGCATGAGAAGGTCACTACTGTATTTGTAGTCCACCACACTGATTCCACCTGTCATACATAATCCCCACACTTCCTAACTTGGAGAAGTAGAAAATCATGGGTGAAATAATGCCTACATTTTGGTGTTCCAACATAAAATGTATATGCCTTAGGTTTAATTGTAATTTTTAAATGAGTATATTGACATCTGCCATATCTTACCTGTTAGTTTGCTTTTGGACTATTAGTTTGGACTACTAGTTTGCTTTTTGTGCACAAGAACATGAATATCTTAGATCCACTGGAACTGCGCCTAATATTATTAGAAAAATAAACTAGGGAAGAAAACCACAGGAAAGAAATGAGAAGAGATGGAAAAGAAAACAAAGAAAGGAAACCATTTGACATTTAGCAATTAATTAAAGCAGGGTATTTTTCTTAAATCAGACATAGTTCAATAGTTACTGAAACATGAGATGGTGCAATGGCTCATGCCTGGAATCCAACACTCTGGAAGGCTTAGGCATGAGGATCACTTGAGATCAAAAGTTCAAGAACTGTGTTGACAACATTGTGAGACCCCATCTCTACAAAAAATAATAGTAATAATAAAAATTAGGCAGGAGCAGTGGTGCATATCTGTAGTGCTAGCTATTTAGGAGTCTGAGGGGCGGTTCGATTGAGCCCCATAGTTCTAGACTGCAGTTAGCTATGATTGTGTTACTGCACTCCAGCCTGGATGATGAATGCAGACCATGTATCTATTAAAAAAAAAAAAAAAAAAAAACTCGCTGAATCCTGTGTAACACTTTTTCATTGAAAATGTGAAGAGAATGGGTTTGTTTTGCTCCAGAGAAGAGATATTGTATCTCTGTTGTTCAGAAATTTCATGTCAAAAGAACAAGAATAATTTAAATCTAATTTACTTGAATTATATATTTGTGAGTTATGGTCTCACCCTCCAGGAACAGTAAGCCATTTTAGAAGACTGATGGACCAGAACATGGCTTCATATTTTATAATTAAGTAAAACAGGTATCTTATCCTCTATAAGCAAACGTCATGTTCTTCGAAAAGGCCATGCCTTTCAATTACAAGGGAAATATCAACAAAGAGCTACTGCCTTATCACAGTTGTGGCAATACACTGGTATACGAATGATATATTATATATAAATTACATGTGCCTAATAATATTAGGCACAATAATATATATTTTTGTATATTACCTAGAGAATAACCATAATTTCTAATGGGACTGTGCAAATAAGCATAGAAGATTTACCTAATAAATATTTCCTTTAAAAATCACACACAAATTTATTTTATTTTATTTTCTTATTTTATAAGTTCTAGGATACATGTGCAGAATGTGCAGATTTTTTGCACAGGTAAATGTGTGCTATGGCGGTTTGCTATACCTATTAACCCATCATCTGGGTTTTAAGCCCCTCATGCATTAGCTATTTACCCTGAGCCTCTCCCTCCCTCCCCAACCACCAGCCCTGATGCATGTTGTTCCCTTTCCGGTATCAGACACGAATTAAAAACATAATCTCTATTAGTGGGATCAATCTAAAGACAATGCGTTTACAAATCTGTTATACAGTTTTTCAAACTTTAAAGTACACAAATAATCTCCTGGATATGTTCTTAAAATTCAGGTTCCAGGTGTACGCCCCAAGATTCTGACTCAGTAAGTTTGGAAAAGTAGACTAAGATTTTGCATTTCAGCAGGTACCAGCTGATGCTGATTGTGACGGTAGTATGTGGAACATCCTGAGGAACAATAGACTGAGCTGTACAACTTACCTGAACTTAGAAATGAGTTTTTAATACTCAGTTCTTAGCACATCGAATTATACAACTAGTAGCAAGTAGGTGATCTTTTATACATGTTTGTCTATTAATTTAATTAAAATTCTGTTTGTCTCTTTCTGTCTAGTGTAGTTATTTCAATAAATGACGTCTATGAAGATATATGGTCCCCTGAAAACTCCAAGGAGGTAAATTCAAATTTCTAAACATAAGAAATCAGTTTTATGTGAGAGACATGTGATCAAGCACCTAGAAAATTTTGACACTAAATATGAGAATCCTTTTATCATATGGCATCCAAAAGTGGCTGAATTTTGGCCAATGTTTACATTCACTTTATTACTTAAAATATTCTAAGTCAATGTAAGCAGGTAAAAATACAAGACAAATAATGATTTGTAGAAAAACTTTGGAAGTGTAGAATGACTCCAATTTTATTATGCCAATTATCACTATTTACTAGAGAACGTGTAAAATTTTTCATAACACGGTAAGTATTATTTCTGACATAGCATTGCTCCATCTTGGACATCTATTTGTTGAAAAGTAGTAGATGGCATTCTACAGAAACATCTTTATCACTGCAATCTTTGTGATGCCTGTTTTCCTCCAGCATGCTTTTCCATTGTCTGACTCACTCAGGGCTAGACTAACACTGGGATTAGCATGTGATGGGTCCATTTGCTTTCTGTTTGCCTTGTCTTCACGATGAGCTATTGCAAAATCACCTGGTTAAGTTTATTTTTAGAATTTGTAGAGACAGATTTTGGGCATTACTTTCCATCTCGATCATATGATCTCATAATTGATGTTATTTTGAAAAACAAAAGGGAGATTTCAACGTGTTTAAATACATCAGCCATCTAGGAAAGGACATCTATTGAGGCTTCACTGTGGCTTCACTGACTTCTTGACTCTCCTCTTGAGTAAAAGGTAATATGTTCAAGTACAATCCAATAGAGTATCTTAGCATAAGCTTTTGTTTGCTAAAATCAATTGTAACTCACTTATGAAAATGTATATTATCTATTGATAACTTATTATAAAGAAATAATGACCATTTATTAGGATCTGAAGATGACTTCCAGATGTCAATTCCTATGAATTAACACCAGCAATCATCTTGCAAAGTAACTAATGTGGAATATGGCAATGTATGACATCCTCTCTGATGGTGGGACCTCAATGGACTATTTTTATTTCCTTGTCTAGATACCTGATATCTACTTTCTTATTACTTTTATATTAAACTTAAAGTATAATTTCAAATTTTACAAGAAGATACTGATAAATTCTCTCTTGCAAATTCATTTTTATAAAAGTTTATTTTTTTAAATTTACTTTCCTCTTAGTAGTAAACTATGTTATCACTTTTTCATTGGCCTTTCCATCATTAAAAATAGTTCTGTTATAATGTAAAGCATATACTGTATAAGAGTTAGTCATCTCAATCTTACTAATTTATTTAACTCATTTTCATTCATTTGTGTTATGGCAGAAAAGAAAGTTTATTATTCCAATTTTTTATTATTCTTTTACTTGGGAAATACGTTTTTCAAAACTCTTAATTATATCTTGATTATCTATGTTTATTTATCATTTTATCTGTTAGTAAAAGAAGAGCACTTTCTTACAACCTTTCTTTGATATTCTATTTGCAACGCAATTCACAGTCACAAACAACAGTGAAATTGTCTTTCTATATCATAAAAAGAGTCAAAATTAGATTTATCTATTATGTAATAGAAAAACTTCAAGAAATACATAATTTTTATACTTATTCTTATACAAGAAGTTTCCATTTAAATGAGTAAAGCAAAATGAATGAAGAAATAATAATGCAAATGAGTTCTTCTTTCTATGATAGAAATGTAGGGCTGTTTAAGAGTAGGACCTTTTTATTATAATTAGATGAAAAATGTTACTGTGATGTTCTATCACAAGTGACAGGTAAGAGAGATTAGAAAAAAATTTTTAAATATTATCTATTAACGAATTACTTTATAGCTTGCAATTAACAAATAAAAATGCCATGTAATTGTAAGTCTTGTGGTAATTGTATTTTTCAGTGGAAATTATTATTTACATGTTTGTAATTTAGAAATAAGCAATCTGCTTTACTTTTTTATATCAGCCAAAGAACTGGATTCACTTGCATATGTATAATTATAAAAACATATCAGAGTCCCAGAGGAGGCTAACTTTGTTGAATAATATTATTTGAAATATTAAATAATCTTCACCAATTCAACTTCTCAAAGTAGCTACAAACATTTTCCCTACGACTTCTCTTCATTTTATTTTTCTCTAATCAATATCATTAAGGTTCTAATCTCAAGTTTACACCATCCGTGCCATTCTTTAATAGAAATCTGGATCATATTCACTAACTTTATTAGAGAACAAGTGCCCATTGCTTGTCATTCTACTTTCTAAATATGTCTTTACACTGTACTTTAATTAGCATTCTTAATGTCATTATCTAAGTCTCTTGTAATGTCACAACAACCAAAGTGGTCATCTTTTCTCCAGTTTTGTCCTCCCCACATGCTGGACTGTTTTCTTTTTTTAACATGCTTTCTTCCCCATTTTATTTCTTTATAGGCTCCCAACACCTCACTTTACTCATTCCATATTATCCAACTCAAGCTTGCCTTTCTTCATTACCTTCTTACTCCCATCCTCTTGGTTTGTTTAAGATGTCCATTTGTGTGTTTCATTAGCATATTAATATTTCCAAATTAGAGCACTCACATTAACTTATCAATTCAGGAGACCATGCCTGGGGCTCACACCTGTAATCCAAGCATTTTGAAAGGACGAGGCAGGAAGATTCCTAGAGCCCACGAGTTTCAGAACAGCCTGGGCAATATTGTCAGACTAATAACATTCTCTACCTAAAAAAGAAAAATTCACTGGGCAGGTTGGCAGATCCTTGTAGTTTCAGCTACAAGTGGAACTAGAGAGGCTAAGGTGGGAGAGTGGCTTGAGCCCAGGTTGTCCAGGCTTCAGTGGTCTGTGCTCATGCCCCTGCACTCCAGCCTGGAAAACAGAGCATGTCTCCCAGTGCTTTGAAGCGTAGTGTCATCAATAGAAGTTTGATGAATGAATGCAAGAAATAATATGATTATTGATTTTTCATGTATGATTTTATAGGACTCAGCCAACTATGAAGTTTCTTGTCTTTGCTTTAATCTTGGCTCTCATGGTTTCCATGACTGTAAGTATATCTGGAAATTTTAAAGGATACATTCTCGGTACTTATCCCAAGAGTCTTTCTTATTCCTTATGTTCTGCCATATATTTATGTTCACTTCAATATAGCTTTAGTATTTCTATATATTTTCTTTGAATTAACCTATATAATTTCTTTAAGGACTTATTTATTACATACCTGCAAACACTCAAGTACAATAACTTTAATGTAAAAATAAAAGTAAATTAAACAAACTTCATAAATATGTGGGACTGAGAACTTTGAAAGTATCTTTAAATATGAAAAGCTCCAGACCATCTGAAGTTAGAAATCTGAGGAAAGAACAAGGTGCACTTAAATGGAGCCCAAGTATTAGATGGTGTCAAAATAGGAATTTTCAATTCATTTCTTGCACAACCCAACTGTTAAAGTTAGAATATAATTTATTTTACTCTTTCTAAAATAAAGCTGCCTATTTTAAGCCATAAAACCAATGCCTGTATTCATTAAGTATCATGAGTTCCCAGCTTGTGTTGTCATTTACTACTGTGTATTAGGAAAAGCACATGACCTCTCTGGAGCTCTTTCTCATTCTCTACTTCCTCGTCCTCTTCCCACTCCTCCTCTTCTTTCTATGAAGTTAATAGAAAATTGGTCACAAAAGAATACTAATACTTCAACTTATCCACTAAATTCTAATGAATGTTTCAAAAAACAAATTGGTTATGATATCACAGTTTATCACATGATTTTATTATAAAAGGATAGAAGTAGAAAAATAAATATATTAGAAGAACAGAGAAAAGCGTAATGCCTGTCTCTATCAGCAAATAAACTTTTGAGCTACATAGAACATATTCATATACAAAACAATCCAATGTTTCATTTTTCAGTTTCTACTCTCTTATTCACAAATGATAGACTTTTCTTGCCTTTCATAAAAAAGATATATAAACCAAAATGAGTTGATACTTGAATATAGCACATTAATTATAGAGAAGTTTACCTTCACTCATTTTGAAGATGTAATAAAGCTAAAATAACTAATTTAGTGTGTCATCAATCAAAGAATGCCTCCATTCTGTTTAATCATAAATGTGGCTAAGTCAATTTTTATACATACTCTTGAATTATAAAATTAAGATATTAATTACTTTCTCATTTTCTTCTTTTTCAAGAGAGCTGATTCACATGAAGAGGTAAGACATTTTCATTTACTGGAAAACTTGATAATTAATCATATATTGAATCTTTAATCTTTTCTTTTCTTTTTATTTCATAGAGACATCATGGACGTCATGGGCACCATGGGTATGGAAGAAAATTCCATGTAAGTGTTCTTCTGATAATGTGCACTCTGAATAAGTTTTCTTCTCTATCTATTCTCCTAGAATAATTGATACTTATCTCTCAAATATATGTATATCGTTAATTGCTAAAGTGTACATTGATTTTATTTATTTATATTACAGAGGTTAAAGTCACAAATACCTTGTGTTCTAACAGCCTCTCAACGGAAAATCAATTCCACTCTGAATAAGTCAATTTTCAATTATTCCCTGAGAGCTTAAGTATCTTTCTCTTATAAATAATTACATTGACCTAAAGAATAGTTCCTAATTCTATGAATAATTCCTAATTCTATGAAGTATAACATACGCCTAATGAAGCATAGAGGCTACCCATGTAATGTGGTAAGTTTCTATCTTCTAAATATTTAAGGATGATAAAGTTTTTAAATTAAACTTACTGTGCTAAATTAAACAGAAAATTTTATTTCTTTAATGTTTTCCTAAATGTGTGTATAAAAATCTCGTATTATTTTTACCTCTAATATCAGTATGAATAGGGGTTCAAAAGTTCTCCTTACTAATATAACAAGTATACATATTTAAAAAGCACTAAGTAAAAAGATGCATAGAAAGGGATGAGGACTGTTTGTGTTAACAGCAGTGGGTATGAAGGAATGTAGGAGTTGTAAGAGAAAGTAAGCTCATTAAAAGAATGAGATGAAGAAACACCACCTAAGTTGGAAACGGTAACTTTCTCCTACCCATTATACTCAATGTTGGGCATTATTATTGCCACAAAAACATCAACACACAGTAAATACTTTATCATTTTTACTTGCTTTTAAACACTTTTCTGATAAAAAAGAAAAATGTAAAAATTTGAAAACATTTATATAGATAACACACAAGGTCATAAAAACTTAAACAATCTAAGCTTTCAGTGACAGTTTTTGTGAAACATTTGTACTGTCATTGTCTCTATTCTCTGCAATTTGCTCTCTCCTTTTGTGTGTATGCAGGAAAAGCATCATTCACACCGAGGCTATAGATCAAATTATCTGTATGGCAACTGATATCCTCAGTAATCTTGGGGCATGATTATAAAGGTAAGCTGACTCTAGTTACTTTTCTTTCCAGAAGTATCAACACTGACAGTTAAAACAAGAAAAAACCAGGAAAAAAGCCATTAAGCCAACAACCATTCTAGTTTAAGAAATGTAGCATGGGTTAGCTCCTTGAAGTGTGCTGATTTGTATAAATGCTTCTGAAGCTGTAGATGTGTGGTGTTATTTCTGAGGTCTCTGTTCTGTTCCATTGGTCTATATGTCTGCTTTGGTATAAGTACCATGCTGTTTTGGTAACTGTAGCCTTGTAGTATAGTTTGAAGTCAAATAGTGTGATGTCTTCAGCTTTGTTCCTTTTTCTTACAATTGTCTTGTGTATATGAGCTCTTCTGTAGATACGTATGAAATTTAAAGTAGTTATTTCTAATTCTGTGAAAAATGTCAATGGCAGTTTGATGAGAATAGCATTGAATCTATAAATTACTTTGGTCAGTATGGCCATTTTCATGAAATTGATTCTTCTTATCCATGAGAGTGGAACGTTTTTCCATTTGTTTCTGTCCTCTCTCATTTCCTTGAGCAGTGATTTGTGGTTCTCCTTGAAGAGGTCCTTCACATGCTTTGTTAGCTCTATTTCTAGGTATTTTATTATCTTTGTAGCAATTGTGAATGGGATTTCATTCATGATTCGGGTCTCTGCTTGCTATCTGATCTTCAACAATCCTGACAAAAACAAGCAATGGGAAAAGGATCTCCTAGTCAATAAATGGGTACTAGGAAAAGTGGCTAGCCATATGCAGAAAAATGAAACTGGACCCCTTCCTTACACCTTATACAAAAATTAACTTAAGATGGATTGAAAATTAAATGAAAAACCCAAAACCAAAAAAAGACCCTAGAAGAAAACCTAGGTGATACCATTCAGGACATAGGCATGGACAAAGACTTCATGAAGGAAATGCCAAAAGCAATGGCAACAAAAGCCAAAATTTATAAATGGGATCTGATTAAACTAAACAGCTTCTGCACAACAAAAGAAACCATCATCAGAGTGAACAGGTAGCCTAGAGAATGGGAGGAAATTTTTGCAATCGACGCATCTGACAAAGGTCTAGTATCCAGAGTCTACAAGGAACTTACACAAATTTACAAGACAAAAACAATCCCATATAAAAGTGAGCAAAAGATATGAACAGACACTTTTCAGAAGAAGACATTTATATGGCCAAAATGTGAAAATAGCTCAACATCACTGATCATTAGAGAAATGCAAATCAAAATCAAAATCACAGTAAGATACCATCTCACACCAGTCAGAATGGTGATTATTAAAATGTCAAGAAACGATAGATGATGGCTAGGCTGTGAAGAGATAGGTGGTGAGAATGTAAATTAGTTTAACCATTGTGGAAAACTGTATGGTGATTCCTCAAGGATCTAGAACCAGAAATACCGTTTGACCTAGCAATCCCATTACTGGGTATATACCCAAAAGAATATAAAGCATTCTACTATAAAGACATATGTCTACATAGGTTTATTGCAGCACTATTTACAATAGCAAAGACATGAAACAACCCAAATGTCCATCAATGATAGACTGAATAAAGAAAATATGGTATGTATACACCATGGAACACTATGTAGTCATAAAAAGGAATGAGATCCTGTCCTTTGCAGGGACATGGATGAAGCTGGAAGCTATCATCCTCAGCAAACTAACACAGGAACAGAAAATCAAACAGCACATGGTCTCACTCATAAGTGGGAGCTGAACAATGAGAACACATGGGCACAGGGAGGGGAACAGCACACACCAGGGATGGAGGGTAGGAGGTGACAGAAGGTAACATAGAGAACTGATCAATAGTGCTGCAAACCACCATGGCACATGTATACCTATGAAACAGTCCTACACATTCTGCACATGGATCCCTGAACTTAAAGTAAAATAAAAAATAAGATTAAATAAAAATGCCTCTGAGGGAAAGTTTCTGTTCACTACTGTTAGGAGACAGAGTTCTGGGTAGGGGAACCCCTACGTTGGTATCCTGACTCTGACAACTAGTTTCATGACCTTGAAGTATTCCTAATCTTCTCCAAACCTCAGTTTTATAAGCAACAAACACATGTTATAATAATACTTACACTCTTTACAGAATTTGTAAGGCTATTAAGAGACATTTTAGAGAAGCCCTTGATCTGGAAGGCGTATGGTTATGGCCATGGGCTTCTCTGCCACTAAATCTGTACTTCGTTGTTATTTGAAGTTTTCTGTCCTAAAATGTAATCTTTGGAGAAGATGCACAACCACCATCAGGGAACTCATGAGAAATTAACATTTTATGCCTAAGTAACTCTAATGAGCAATGGCTATAGAAATTACTAATAAAATATCAACAAGGAGATGGGAATTTTCAGAGAAATAGGAAATGGTAACAATGTCCTTTTTAGAAAGTCATTTTTATTTATCTATATTTATAGCATAAAATGTTCCAAAATCTATGATATATTAATATTATACTTCAAAATAAAGCAATATTTTGGAGATAAAACAGTACTGTTCTACAATTCAAAATTGAAATAGTTCAAAAGATTTCAAATATTTTTCAAATATTTTTAAATGTATTGGGAAAATTTACTCTTATTGAATTCCTGCTCTGTGTGATATTACAAAGGCCTGATCTTGATCCTCCAGATGTTAGATAATTGCTAATGACATTTAATCAGGGGAGAATATAGTTAAAATACTATTTGTGGGAGACAGATGAAATGTGGAGGCTATATTTAAGTGCTGGAATAAAATAAAGTAATGGAAAACATCAAGAAAAATTTAAATTGCAGATGCTGAATGATAATTTTTATTTATTCTGATACCCACTTCATGAGTATTTGTCTATTCTGTCTCAAATATTATTTTGGTCCCTGCATTATAATAAGTAAAACTATCTAAAAATAAATAATTTGTACCAGGAAAAGTAAAAATGTATTTACAGGAGTATCGGTTTGGGAGATAAAGTGTTATTTTCTTTTTCTTCACAGGTTTGACTGGCAAATTCACTTTTTACTGGTTTATTGTCATTCGTCATACTGCATCACACTACCGCTGCTTTTTGAAGAATTATCACAAGGCAATGCAGAATTGACCATGATTCACTGAATTCCATGTTTCATGATACTTACCTTCCTAATTACCATTTGATTAGATACTTGTAATTTAAACTGTTAAGCTGTTTTCACTGCTCTTTCTGAGTAATAGAAATTCTTTCTTCTCCAAAAGCAATAAATTTCAAGCACATTATTATGTGTATGCTCTTTATTTCTCTTTTTTATATTAACATATATAAAGATTTACTTCTTCACTTTATTTTCCCAGTTCGAGTAGCACTGACTGTAGTACTTTATACCATAGCTCTTTTGAAATGATATTTTTAATTTAGCATGTTATATTCATTTTATCTTACAAACATATGGTCCTCAATCACATCTAGATTACTAGACCTATTGATGCAAAACCTTGATTTGTCCCTGGTGTCCTTTGCCACAGCACATTTCTTAGCATTGAACATTCTCACATTAACTTATCTCAGGCCCTACACGCCAGCAGATAACCCCTATGTCACTCCACAGCAGTAGGCAGGCACTCAGAACACAAACCATCTAATGCTCTCTATCGGTTTGTCAATATATCCATCAAACACAAGTTCATTGAGTGATACCAACGGTCACTCTTTCAGATGCTGTAGTTATAGAAAGGCAGTCAGAGCCCTGTTGTCAGAGCTTTTACATTGCATTTGGGGGATGCAGACAACAAGTAAACAAATAGCATATGACTCAGGTAATAAATGTGTTACAGAAGTGTAAGGCAGGACTAGGATATAGAGGCAGCCTCAAGTAGGATAGTCAAGGATAGCCTCTCTGGTATGGCAACCTTTTAGAAAAGCTGCCAATTAAGTATGGGAGCAAGCATGAAGAAAGACATTTTCAAGCAGAAGAAATAACAAGTACAAATCCATTGTGAATTTTATGAGTTGTAGAATAGGTTTTTCCACTTCTGTGTAAATTAATGTTGGTAAGTTCATAGGAGTGGCATTAAATCTGTACATTGTTTTGGATAATATAGCCATTTTAATGATATTAATTCTTCTAATCCATCAGCATGGAATGTTTTCCATTTCTTTGTGTCTTCTGTGATTTCTTTCAGCAGCGTTTCGTACTTCTCCCTGTAGAAACATTTCACCTCCTGAGTTAGATATATTTATAGGTTTTTATTTTTTGTGGCTATTGTAAATGAGATTGTGTTCTTGATTTGGTGCTCATCTTGCACATTACTCATGAACAGAAATGCTACTGATTTTTGTGCATTGATTTAGTATCCTGAAGCCGTACAGAAGTAGTCTATCAGTTCCAGGAGTCTTTCCAAAACTTTAGGGTTTTGTAGGTATTGAATTGCATTGTCCATGAAGAAAGAGAATTTGACTTCTTTTCCTCTATGGATTTTTTTTATTACTGTAACTTGTAGATCACTCTTACTGTCTCTTTCAGTATTATGTTGAATAGGAGTGGTGTGATTAGATATCCTTGTCTTGCTCCAATTCTCAAGGTGATTGCTTCCAGTTTTTGCCCATTCAGTATGGTGATGGCTGTGGGTTTGACACAGCTAGTTCTTCTTATTTTAAGATATGATCCTTCGATGTCTAGTTCGTTAAGGGTTTTTATCATGAAGGAACGTTGAGTTTTATCAAAAGCTCTTTGGGCATCTGTTAAGATTATATGGTTTTTGCTTTTAATTCTGTTTATGTGGCAAATCACATTTATTGGTTTATGTATGGCGAACCAATCTTCCATCTCTGGAATGAAGTCTGCTTGACCATGGTGAATTAACATTTTGAAGTGCTTTGCTATCAGTTTGCTAGTGTTTTGTTTGTTTAGGATTTTGCATCTATGTTCACCAAGTACATTGTCCTGTAGTTTTCGTGTGTGTGTGTGTTTCTTTGCCAGGTTTGGTGATTCTGGCTTCACAGAATGAGTTAGAGAGGAGTCCCTC